AGCCTCTGAGCAAGTACTGGAGTCAGCATTATACTATGAACTGAAGGTACAAAGCACCCCCTTTTCTTAAGTGCTCCTGTCACATAAGAAGTTGTCTTTCAGCCAAGTAGGATGTTGCCTTAATCAGCTCCATCTCCCTGACAGCTCCTGCTAAGCAGCAGTCGACACTGATGTGCCCCTGATCTCCGTCCCTCAGATCCAAAGCTTCACCCTTCTACTCTGCCTTCTCCTTGTCCCCCAAAAAGCCTGTCAGAAGAGACCAAAAGAAAATAAAGAGGCTATCATGGCTGTGTTCCCTGCAATGTTTTGTTCTGTTTCCACCAGAAGGGAAAGATTCGAAATGTCCCACCACCTGGGTCCACTTGCTTTGCCTGAAGTTAATTCAGTCACCAGCTGTCAGGGCTGCTTCTGTCCTTGGGTGAAATTTGGCTTGCTCACCCAAGCTTCTGAGCTGCAACTGGGCCTGGCCTCATTAGAAGCCATGTGGCCTCCATAGCTGGCACCATTGCGGTCCCTGGAGTCAGCCCGGATTACATCAGCTTCCTCTCATGGCCCAGAGCAGATTTCACACTTTTTAGTCTTTCAAATTTGTGTTGTTTGCTTGCTGCTTTCCGATCCCACTTTGCCTCCTCGGGAGCTGCTATGTGGTCTGAGGTTGGAGGTGCTGTCATGATTTGGAGCTCTGGTGTTGCTCTTCCAGCCTTGTTCCAGGTCTCTAACTCAGCACCCATGGGGGTTACAGTAATGGAAATATTCTTTCAAAACACTATCTTCTGCTTCAAGTTTTGCCTGAATAAGTCAGGAAGACACTGTAGATGATGGGATTTTGGCAAATGTAAGAGCTTGATCCTTCCTAACAGATGCCTGGGAGACTGCTGCGCATGCACACAGGAGGGTTTCTGTGTTCAGAAGGCTAGGCAGCATCCCACGGCATGACCCACACCAGGTGGAAGGCCCATGGAGGGCCTTTCTCATAGAATTAATGAGGCTGAGCAAGATCTTATTTCGTTTTTCCTATCTCATTCCTGGGTACCATTCCTGGGTTGAGTTGGGCAGAGGAATCAGCTTGAGTTATGCACATGAAATGCTGTAGGGTGGGCTCATCCCATGCTCCTGTCAACATCCTGTACCACTTTTAAAAGGTATGAAAATTCAGAGCACAAACATTCAGCCACTACATATGAGGTGAGAGATTCAGGAGAAAGTTCTAGTTTTTTCTAGATCCAAAGCTCATGCTCCTCTAAAGCAGTCCTTTCTTTGCTAAGTTTACTTTGATTTCTTTTCTGTTTATAAAAGCAAAACTCACATAATATAGAAAAACAAAATGCAGACAACTGTAGATCAGCTTTAACCCTTTAGCCAGTATAAACCTCTGTGAACACTTTGATATTTCTCCTCCCTGTCTTGACTTTCACAGATAGTTTTGATAGACAAATAGATGGACCAAGATGTATTTAGCCATTTCTCTACTAGCAGAAATTTAAGATTTTTTTTTTCCTTCACCAATAACAGTTCTTTGGGAACCGAAATACTTACTCAGAACATTACATGTGCTGATGACCAAGATGTGGGTCAAGCTGATTTGTAGAACAGCAATTCACAGTCCTGTATGAAGAAACTACCCTCATCTGCAGAGGCAATGAAATAATAGCTGCTACAATTTTTATAAGAGAGGATGCTGTAACAGCCAAGGCTCCTCCATCTTCTGTAGGACTCTGGGTGGTCCTACACTGGCCTGGGGCCAGAAGTTCCAGGAAGAGCTGATTCCATGGTGTTGGAGTAGCAAATAGCCCCTTAAATTTAACTGGTCAAGACTATAAAATCTCTAGTCTGTTGAAAGACCCACCTTTCCAGTTTTACTGGTCAATCATCTAGGACCATTCCTGTAAAGGCAGGCTCCCCTCAAGTTATGCTAAATAGATGGGCAGAATATCTAGAGCATTAATGAGATAGCAAAGTTTTCCTGCCTGGTTTTCTACCTCCTAGCACAGAACTACTCAACCCAGCCACAGACATGTCTCTGTAAGTCTGCCTACTTTTCTAAGGAATTCAGAAAAGCATATTTTCTCCTTTTCTTCTCCATATCCCTTTTCTTTCTTTAAGGCTTTGAGCTGCCCCCAGCATCTTGTATTTCTTTACTTTTTCTAAAGCTTCCTTCTCCCGGCCCTGTGGCTGCCAGTCAGCCATGTGTCTGACCTCCAGAGGTTCTAAGCCTGCATGACTTCATGGCTTTCTTTCCTTCTTCCCTCCATTCTCCTCCTCAGGGCAGCTGCCAAGATTACCAGCTTGCCTGCCCTGAGGATTTTTCTTTAAAATTCTAACAAAATTGTCAAAGCTCCCGTCCCCTCCCAGTTAGGGCGGCATTCTCAAAATTGGCTCAGAGAGTGCTGTTTGGCCAGCTAAATAGATTTGACTGATTTGAAACATTTTGAGTCCGAGTGGTCTTTTCCCAGTGATCTTGAACTCTGTAACAATGCCATCTTATTGTCCTCACCACATTACTAACAAGACTGAATATTTTCCAATTTGGTCATTTGAGGGCAGTTTTTTATTTTGTTTTGTTTTGGTTTGTTTTGTTTTTTCCAAAATGACTTTTCAGTCAATTATATATTTTAGTTGCACTGTTAAAGACCTGGCATTGCTGTGTTCAGAACTATAAACCTGCTTTTCTTGCTATACAAACAGTATATATATTTGACACACTTCTGAAAATGTCTTCCATCCTATCATCAGACATGGGAAAGTGAATTCATTCATCTTTTGTGGTTGTAGTGAGGGGTGGTACTTTCCCCCTCCCCGGGAAAGGCTTTGGTCAAGCAGGAAAGTCATGTGAGTGCCAGCTTGCAAAGGAAAGTGAACTGCTGTCAAGCTGTTTCTATCTTGACCTTTGCCTTCTTTTTTTTTTGCAATCAATTCGAAAGAAAAGGCCAGGTTTTCATCTGTCTCCACAATTCTATAAGCAATTTTTGATAACCCAAGAGCTTTTATTACTCTTACTTCTTATGGAATCTTCAAAGATATACTATATAGAGAAAACACATTTTGTTTTCTTTGAGAATGGTTAGTTTTGAAAAAGCTTTTATTAGTTAAATGTTTTTTGAAAATTTCATACACATATATAATGTGTATCGATCACTCTCATTGCCCCCCACCTTTCCCATCTCTCTGCTTCTTGTGTCTAATGCTGTTTTCTTTACAAATCTCTTTCTCACATTCATGTCCATTTGTTTTGTTTTATCACCCACTAAGTTTAGCCAGGGTCATCTGTATCACTGTGGATTTGAAGCTACCTCTTGGAGCCTGATGGGCTCACCAGTGGTGATACAACTGGAGACAATAATTCCCATTCTTCTAGAATCTATCAATAACCAACAGTTCAGCAGTAGGAGGTAGGCTGTGAGCCTGTTCCCCTTCTGTGAGCAGGTGGGCACATTCTGCCTAGCCGGTTGGCTTTTTTGGCTTGTAAAGTTCACAGTTGGGTAAGATGATTGATATCTCTTCTCCCCTAGCAGCCTGCATAGCACCTTCTAGCACCCTGAGAGCTACCCAGCAGGGAAGATACTTCCAGGTCAGTTCCAACTTGCTTTCAACAGAGGTATTGTGGTATCTTCAGCAATAGGGTCTGTGTGGGCTCAGTTCCGGGGCTAGGAATAGGATGGTCTCCAGGGATTAAAGGAGACATTCTTAATTTTCTCTGGATGAGGGCAGACAGGCCACTGGGCAGACAGATGTCAGTCAGGAGCCTGTGCCAATGGTCCCAAGTTCTTTTTATAGAAAATCACATAAAGGTGGCTTCTTGCCCAAACTAGTCATATATAACAGATTATAGCACTATTACTTTTGGGGTTTCCTGATATCTGGTATGAGTCATTTTGTGCTAATTCATGGCCCTCTAGATCTTGGCTCATGCTGGAAATCCTTACTAGTACCATGTTGTCTCAACATTAACAGGTCCTCCTGGCCTTGGTTCCCTGCGGGGTCTTGTCCTCTAATTTTGGGGGACAACCAAGAGGACTAACAACAGCCTATATTATTTGGGAGACCTCTGATTTACAATGAAATAATTGAAAAACCACTAAGTAACATTTAAAAATCTTTGCTTTCCTCTGTTGCTTAGAAGACAAAAATCTTTTGGCATAACTGTGCATCTTTCAAAATATTTTAATAGTATAGAATTTAACATTTATAGTGATTAACAGTCACTCCATAAGTATTTCTTAATACTGAAGTATCCTATTTTTCATCTATCTAAATCTTAACTGAGCTTTTCTAAGCTCAGGCCAAGCCTGTCGCTTTGCCATAACTAGCCTCCATGGAAAGTTCTTGTCCTTTTAAGTCATGTTGCCCTGGTAAACCTCCCTTGGCAGAAAGCAAAAACCAACCAAAATGTCATTAAAATGTCCTTAGGCCAGTATTTCACTTTTTCTTTTTGCTTCATTAAGTATGTCTCTATTCATTTCAGTTGTTCAACAATGTGTCACTCTCCTCTTAAGTAAGACTTTAGAACCACATAGTTTCACATATTTCCACACATAGCTAGGATGTGATATATCTGTGTTGATGAGAGGTGGGAATATGAGATCAGGTATAAACGGTTTAACTTGCTTCCAACCAGTCTAAAAGAGCTTATTGTCAAATTTGTGGGAACTTGGAAGTTGGTGCTAAACATGGTCATTATTAAAAAGTCAAATGTGTTCTTGTAGATCTCCTTCCCACTCTGCATTCAGGGACATCCAATCCCATGGTTGGAATATTTATCCCATGGAAATTGGCAGCTACCCTAAAACATAGCTCATCTAATTTCTTTATTGGACACAAGAAGGGCTGGAGAAAGTATTAGTAATACAGATTAAAACTAAACACATGTTGTGTGTGAAGCCTACAGATTCTAAATAGTAAGTACTGAAAAGGTAGTATTCCTGTATTCGAATACATTTATTCCATTAAGCAAAGAAGTAGCTGATATCACCGAACAATGAATGGAATTCTGACACGCGGTGGAATTCTGATGGAGATATACATGAAACAGAGAGATTTTTAATGTAATGGATGCAATTTCTATGACAGTAAGAAAATGACTTAATGATAGATCACAGGTCAGATGCATTGTTGATAAGCTTCATGATAAAAGAGTTCACAGAAAGGAATGCAATTCTATTTCCAAATCACAGCTGAACTGCAAGCAGAAGCTGGTTACAGTCAGAAAAGGTAAGCTAAAACCCACGAAAACACTCCATAAGAATCAACTGTGTGTACGGAATCTATAATAAATCATATGGCATATTTTCTTATTTTTGAATTATGTAGCACACATTCTTTATATGGGTGAAATTCGTAATGCATGTGTCTGCGTGTGTGTATAATCGCCAGCAGTGTTCTGCCTTTTGGTAAGCTTGTTAAACATTTACCTGTACACCGGTGCAAGCATTGTTCACGAGATGCAGCTGCCCTGAATTCTGAACTCAAAGGTGAAGAGCTTTTGCTAGCTCCTGGCATTATTTCCCCATCTTCCCTTCCTGGTACCGTGTAGTCATTTTGTTTTGTTTCATTTTTTCAGAAGGAGGGGGCATTCAAAATGACCCGCTCTGCTCTGTCTGTAAAATATCTAAACATGCTTTCTTTTTCCTGTAAAAGCACATGAACAGCAGCTGCTTCTTAAAATGAAAGGAGGAAAGGAGACATGTGCTTCATAGCTGTCCCTCAGAGCCCCACACAGGATCTTTCAACTTCACCTACTATGGTCTCTAGCCTGTAATTTCTCACATCTCCTTGGCTGACTCTGGGAACACTCTTCTCACTAAAAATCCCAGAACGCCTAAAAAATAATTAATTCACTTTCTGAATTAGGTGTCCCCCCCCCCCAAAAAAAACACCTAAAAAATAACTACTTCACTTTCTGAAATAAATAAATCCTTTAGCACTCTATAAAGTTACTTTTCAACTCTCCCTATCTCAAGCCCCATCCTGCTACCTTGGGATGCTGGTTAAACTCTGCCTATCACAGGACCATCCAGCCATTCCAGATGCAAGTTACTCTGTCTTCAGAAAGAAATTGGCCTCCATTGTGAGCTCTTGTGCCTATGTTTGGGGAAATGCTGCCTCCACACTCACTATCTCTGGATGAAATCATGGAGAATCAAGGCTCTGCTAAGTGTAGCCCTGAGCTGTGGCAAATGTTCTCCAAATCCACTTGTCGCCTTACCTTCAAACACAGCATCCTTAGAAGACAATTAAGGAAAAGTTTTCTGAATTACCCTCAGTCAAATGCTTGCTGGAGATCTGCTGTCTCCTTCCCTAGCCCAGAGTCCTCATAGTCTTCTTCTAAACCAGAAAAAAAAAATGCCCATTTTTGATGGCTAAAGAGTTTTCCATTGAGAGCAAAATAAATTTACTTAATGAATAAAGAATGACTCTGATGATATTCATTTATCTCGATTTAGTAGTTTTAAACACCAAGCAAGATGAAGGAATTCATACTGGTTATGTGTGTGCTAATGAGATAATCAGCATTTAATGAAAACCAACAGTTATTAGATAATCAGTTTAGCTTGATAACTATTGGTGCGTTAGGGAAGGACAAGAATAATTAAGTGACACTTAAAGGTACAAGAAGAACATTAGTCAGAAATGGATGTGCCTACACGAGGCTCCAAATGGATGGATCCCTGGTCCTCTCTACGTTGCCATGGCAACTCACTTTGGTAACTTGAATATCCTCGGTGTAGGAAAACAAGGGGCAGAGTGTTCTTAGGAAGGTGCAATCCCCTTTAAGCAGATCTATAAGCATCACAGATGAACAGAACTTTAAACATTCCTCCATGAATATTCATGAAGTAAGTTGTTTTTTGTTGCCTGCCTAGTCAGCAGTCAGAAAACACATGGTGTGTGTTGGCAGCATCTTTCCTAGGTAGAGGGCTATGGACTGAGGCAATGGCAGGAACCAGGACCTGTGAGGCTGACTGACATTTCCATCTGCAGCAAAGGCTGGTAATTAACAGGAAGGAGTGTGCCTGCAGCATTGCACCATCTGCTAGGGAAACGGCTCAATAAGAAAGGCGCTGGATAGCATCTCAGCAGTGGCGCGATCTGGTTCCGACATGAGGCCGGGCATCTGTTAGCGGAGGAGATAGACTATTAGGAAATTCGACTGGGAATGAACAACATGGAAAGAGCACTCTGACCTAGCCCATAAAATCAACTCTGTAGAAATGGCATCTTTTTATCTTACTTACCCACATCTTCTGAAAATGGTTTGCTGAGGGGCCATTACAGATCTGTTTGAAGTAACACAATGGTTTCAGAAATGCTGTTTCATTCCAACGTGAAGTTCTTGAAATCAGGATACAGCTGTCATCTTTTGACAATAGAACTAATTTCAGAGCGAGGATATGAGGTTAAATTCCTTCTTTTGTTGTTTAGATTGGGGAGCAGGGGGGCTGAGGGAAAAACAAAATGATCATTTGAATGCTGTGCTGTTCAAAATTGAGAAGGCAAAAACCCTGGGATGCCCTGGCAGAAAGTGAGAAGGTCAGAAAATCATTCCACTTTTCTGTGCAGTCTTCTTACTGCCGGTTTACTTTTCCTATGCTGTCCGTTTCCTGTGCAAGTCTTTCTGGTCATGGGAAGCCCACCTCTCACCATGGGCGTTACAGAACTCTACACATACTAGTGATAAGACATCGGAGAAGAGAGTCAAGTGTTTGGATTCCAGCTCTAGAACCGAGGGTAAGTTCCTGAAGGAGGGCGTGAAGTGAGGCACACCCCTCATGCCCTTGCTGGGTTCCCACTCCACCGCCCATACTATCATGGTGTACGTTAAGCTCTTCTACAAGAAGACACATGTTTGAGAGGGGCCAGCACAGAATACTCAGTCATCAGCTTCTAGATTGATGCCTTTTTTTTTTTTTTTTTTTTTTTTTTGAAGCAGGGTTTCCCTGTAGCCCCAGCTGTCCTGGAACTCACTGTGTAGACCAGGCTGGCCTTGAACTCACAGAGATCCACCTGCCTCTGCTTCCCAAATGCTGGGACTACAGGAGTGCGCCACCACGCCCGGCTCACCATTTTTTAGAATATAAATGTGTTACTAACCTTTCAACAGCCATGAAGAAACTTTTGACTTCAACTAGCTCAGTCTGATGAGAGATCAGACCTTGGAAACACCTTCCCATTGACAGGGACTATGGACTCTTTCCCAAGGTCCAGCAGATGGCGGATGACTGGAGGATATGTCTGTCTATGTGTGTGTCCCTGTTACTAAATCAGAGCCATCCGATGAGATTTGCTGAGACCTCATGGCACCATATGGAATTGAAGAACATAAAGACCTTGGAATTTAAATTCATCTGAGAAAGACAGAGGCGTGCTTCAGATTTAGGGCTTTAGTTTTGTTAAGCTGTCTTGTGAATGCTGATTATTTTGCTAATGCATACAGATATCTGAAAGGGTTAGTGACAAACATATAAAAAAGTCGGTATTAAAAGAAAGAAAAATTAACATTAAAGGTAAACAGAAAATTTTATCTAGTTGTAACAATTTTAGCTTCAGTTTCTCCAGGGAGATAGAAAGAAGCTCTGATTTATAGCACATGGTATAAATAATCTCATCGTGGCCAATGACAAGCTACCATGGATGGGTATGTAAGATAGAGTTGGGAATAGATACCTCTGAAAAATCAGATGAGGGCATATAAAACATCCCTAACTGTATCTATGTGGGCCTCACATATATGACTTAGTAACACTAAGTTAATGAACTTGACCCCTTTTCGATGTACTGATTATATACTAGATCCAGGCACTTACAGTCTACAAAAACCATTCATGTGCTTTGGTTCATATGATCTTTTTCATAGCCCTGCTAATACAGGCAGAAATTGAGATTAATTACATAACATGCCATAGGCCACAGAATTAAGTAGGTAGGAAAGGTGCTCTGCTTTTTCAAGCTAGATCTCTTTCATTTTCAAAGTTTGCTTCTAAATAGAGACCTACTTATCTCAGGCATGGAACCAGCCATGGGGATCCAGGCATTTCCTTGTTTGTCCTTTTCTATTCTGTGCTTGATGTACATTAGCCCCAGGGTCCTGCCTTCCACCAACTTCCACTGCACTGGAAAATTGTCTCAGAATCATCACTCAGATTTCCTCCTGACCAGCTCACAGCTACTCACACCTTCCCTTCCATCCTCGAGGTCCTGGAACTGGGTTGCACTGCAGGACCCTGGGTACCAGTCTGCACTACAGGAGCCCATTCAGTGTCATAGTATGGCTTATGACCTATGCCAGTGAACTTGAAGTCCTTTTAAAGATCTAAAGGCAGAGCATGTTCTGGCCGTGTGAGAAACTGAATGGTGTTATAGAAAGAGTGAAAACAACAAAATTCACTTCTAGACCTTCACTCAGTCATTAAGCCATGAAAGAGAAAAGCCAATACTGTTAGGTAGGATTCTAGTTAGCAAGTACTTTACTACCTACAGGAGAAATGTCCCCACTTGCACATGTCTCACACTATTATTCTTCCAGATCAAATAACTGTAGATACAAATGCAGTGAATTTTCCAAGCAGCCATATCAGTGAAAGTCACCTCATAAACCTACAACAAGGATTGACTATTCTTCCTTTGGGGGCAGTTACATACAGATTACTTGGAAAGTGAGAGTCTGAAACTCATCATGGAAAACAGCCACATGGGTTGGAAGGATTATATCCTGATATGGTACATTTGGTGAGATGGAACCCAAGCTTTGAAAGGACTTCTTCAAATTGAGGATTGCTGCACAGCTGAAATCCATTATCCTGTATAAGCCTGCTTTCTTCAGTGGATGAAAACAGAGTTCTGGTTTAAACAAAAACCATTAATTTATATTTTTTGATAATTGAATTAATAGCTTTTGTTGAATACTCAAACTCTCCTACATGCTTATATTTACCATCAAGACCTGATGCTAAACATCCTCAGTGTTGATCAGAGAAAGCAGGTAGCATCCACTTAAGCAACAACAGGTCCTTCTGGCCTCAACGTACTACACAATCTGTGCTCCGCTGGGAGCAACCAGGAGCAAAACCGGCCTTCAGTCAGACGCAGCCATCCCAAGTGGGAATCATACTAGGCCTACTCTCTCAGCACACACAGCATGCCAGGCTGTCCAGAATGAAGTCCAAAGAGATTTCATGGCCATCAGGGAAAGGGCTGGATGCTTCCTGGTTTTCTTCTCTCTAAACCCTCCTTATTATTATAAGTAAAACTTAAGAGCAGACTTGGTCTTAAACTGTAGGCCTCACTTCACCTTTGCTGACTCAAAGTCATTCTCTGTAATTCACCAAAATACGCCTAACACCATTGTAACTATCTGACCTATGACAGTAAACAACAGAAGTCTTTACACACACGGAGAACAGTGTGACTGGGTGAGGTCAAATATTTTAGAGAGGAGATTCTCACCACTGCTATTTGATTTGGGACCTAAAAGGAATTAATAGGAGTATTCAATGAACTCTTTAAAAGGAGCTTCTCCATGGACAGAAGGGTCAAATGTGCTAAGGCTCTAAGGTGCCTGGAAGGACCTCAGTTGACAACAGGGAGGCTGACACACCTAACACTGCCTGCTGCTGTTAGCATGTAGGTGTCAGCTGACAAATCCTTGCTGAGGATTATTCCTTAACTGTTCAACATGGGAGGAAGGGAACAAGGGCTCAGAGGCAGCCTCAGGATATCTTCTGCAAGAAAACAGGGGCTCTTGGGAAACTCAGTGCTGCCTCATCAGGTGCATACTTCGGTTCTAAACGTGAGCACTCGGAAGGCAGAACAGAGCTCCTTTCCAGGTCTCCCACTATGCTGACCCATGTTGTGTTTGGTAAGCCATGGTCCTGGTATTCTTTTTATTAAATCACATTTAATTTACTCAGGGTTTTTTTCTTTGTTATGATTTCTTTCATTACTGCTTATTATATGATCAATATGAGTCATTTCAAGAGAATGGTAAACTCTACATGAAAAATGTTAAGAATTTCACTTGCTTTATTTAAAACTAAGTTCAAACCACTGAAATATTTCCATAGCTCCTGAAGATAAGTGCGCACATATATTTTAACTACTGAGGTTCCATCGTTATAAACATATCTTAAATCTCTGTTTTAATTTTATTCATCAGACTTTTAAAAATTATTTATTTAATAACCACATACTTAGAAGCATTTCATTACAACTGAACTGACATATTCAATATAAATTTTTAGGTTTACAGTGGAATTATTACAGTTATACAATATTGTACTCAGTATAAACCCTATAAGACATAAAATTAAATGTGGTTTTTAACCTTCTAAAAAAATCTCTATTTCATTATTAAAATACAGTTTCATATAGAAAAATTCATTTTTAATGCAATTGACATTAAGATGTTTGCACATGAGTTTCTAATCTCTATATATCTGATTATTACTAGTCACAGTCGGTTACTTTCTGAGCTCCTTGGCATCTCAGCATGGATATAAAGTCGTCAGGTAGATTTCAATGGTAATGTTTTTCACATCTATGAATTATTAAGGAGCAAATTTTTATGCTTTGAAGAATTATTATTTTTTAATCATTATCTTTTTTTAATTTTTAATAACTACATGATTAGAAGAAGCACTTCACTACAGTTTTAACATGTTCACTAACATACTCTAGAGCAAGAGTACATCTCTTTCACAAGTGGGTGCAAGTTTCTAGGTTCACAGTTGAATTAATACAGTTATACAATATTGAACTCAGTATA